GGGTAGATCGACTCGGCTATTTATGGTGATCAAGAATATATATACTTTATGGGGTCGGAGATACTTCCTTCTGCGTGTTACATACGTTTGGCTTTCGCACAAATACGATATACCCTTATACCCATTTTTAATGGGTTCAGGGTATAACAAGTAAGAGGTTCTAGTCGGGAGCTCCCGACTAGGGGATACCCTGAACCCTCTTCTTCCAACATCAAATGCATATATATATTCTATTTTATAAGCTATGTGTCAAGTTTGGGCAATTTTAGTAAATAATAAGAGCTAGAGTTATTATTTACCAAAATTGCCCAAAAAACAGGATATCGATATTGATTTTTATCGATTGCTTGGAAACGGAGCAAGTTATCGATTATCGGAAACAAACTCGATCTGCGCGGGAACTAGGAGCATCTACATCTAAAATTTCAAGTCTCTTTGGATTTTGCACAAATACAATATACCCTTATACCCATTTTTAATGGGTTCAGGGTATAAACACTCAATAGAGCACAGAGGAAAGATAAAGAAAATTGACATCAATTTTAGAAACACTATACATTCCATCTATGGAACAACAAACTAACAACTACTTAAACTGTGTACAATATGCAAAGAAAATAAATATGAACGTCACCCAAATAATATAAATCAGAAGAACCCCCTAAGCCTAATTTCCAGCCCAAGTAGTAGTAGCTTAGCCATTAGAAAACGAGTATTGAGGCGATCAGAAGTAGGGAAAATTTTTTTTATTTCGGACAACAAAAAGAAAAACTAGAAACATTAAATATGAAAAACTCAAGAAAAAACGCAGGACTTAGATTTCCGCAACAAACGCAAAAAAGTATGCAGAGTATGGACTAAAATATCTAAGGTTTTAAAGAAAAACTAGTAAAAGAAAACAAACATTCAACCGTGACTACACAAGCTGGAAAAAATAGTCGACAAAAATCTTATAAGAATTTAAAAATTGATCTTCCTTCCTCTGCTTAATAGGTTCAGCTCATCCTGCAATGCCACATATGAAACATTGGATTATTTCATGTCCGAGGTAGCTATCATTGAGTTCGGCGATGGTGAAGTACAGTCAGGAAATTTTCACAATTAAAATATAAAATAGATTTAGCTAAGAAGATGTAAGGTAGATTTAGTTAAGAAGATTATAGTAATGTAAATTTCGCCATACATTTGGCAAAAAATACTTTTATAATACCCGAAGAAGAAACAAGAGCTATAAGTAACATTTTTACAGAAGAGAATATTTTTAACAATATAAAAAAGAGGCTTTAGTGTTCCAAATATTACAATCGCATTGAATGCCGAAAAACTTATTTATGTTATTGACATTTTAAAACAGATAAGGAAATTTGCACACTTACAGTTCAAACTTATATACAATTAAGAGGTCCTACTCGGGAATTCCCGAATAAGGGATACCTTGAGCCCTATTCTATCAATGCTAAATTTAGTTCGCGCTAAGCGCTCGTTTGCTTTAGCAGTAATAAAAAAAAAAGGAAAAATAAATAATAGTTTCCTCGGTAGGGTTCAAACTCGCAACGGACCACATCAATTGCCGCCGCTTCTACTCAACACCAACACCAATAATTGAATCTTAATAAGAAAAAAAGAATTAAAATAGCATCACAGAAAAGAATACAATCGCAATTCCAATGCTGTTGATAAAATTCAAAGAAGAAGTGCATGGATGTGTGTGTGTGCATGTGTACGGCAATTCTTGCAATTTGCGCCAGCTGCCCCAAGCTCGTGACCAGCCAAAACCCATTTTTTATAATAGCTTCTGTATTTCTTGACCGATCTTGATGAATATTTCAACAGAAAATCTTATTGTACTATAAAATATTCGTATATTCTCATAAAGTTAATCGCATTTAAATTGTGGCTTAAATTGGTGCTACTTTCTAAATAATTTGCAATTTAATTCAGATCCCAATTAGCTTGGTAACTTCTTTGAGTTTTTTTGTGGCTTGAAAGACGCTTATTTTAAGATCCCGAGCTAAGGCGAAAGTTCTTGAAATTCATGGAAGCATATTAACGTTAGGTCACATGTCTGATCATCTAGATCAGATTCCAACTACTCCGCAATACTTCATTACGCTTCAGTGTGTCATAAGGCCACAAAGCATATCGACGAAGATATGGCTTGTTTTCGAAGTCTAATTTGATTTAGACTCTAGCTGACATAAAAAAATGCATATGCAGGTCACGGTACATAAAGCAGATCGAGATTTCCAGATCGTAGTGTAAAGAAAGAACCCATCCGAGTACGTACTGCGCCGCACTTTTCCATTTTTGCAAATACGGTATTTCTAGAGCTAAGTGAGATGAGCGAGTCAACACACCCTGAAGCTACCGACGTAATCAGGCACGATTTTTATGTTGAGGATTTATTTACTGGTGCTAAAGGCGTAGAGAACCTTCAGACGATTGAGTTTGAAGTATTGTAAATTCTACAAAACGCTGGTTTTGAACAATTCAAATGGCATTTAAATTCCCGTAATAAACACAGCCAAACCCATAACAATCTCAAGGCCTAACATAACCAAAACACTTAGCGTGATGTTGTTGCCGAATGAAGATGCTTTTCAATTTAAGCTAGACATTTCATTCATAGGTCTCAGAGGCTACTTATCCGCTTGTCCTGTGAAGGCCTCTGATCAAAAAGGATCCTACTCAAAGCGCTTTGGCTTCACAAATTACTCTGGGATGATGCCATTTCTCGGAATTCGGAAACTGAAATCAACTTTGATTGTTGCAAAGAATACCATGAAATGGGTTTACACTGCCAACTTCACCGATCGCGATACTTGGATTTGCCAACGCTTCAATAAGAGCGTTTGGCGCATGCGTAAATAAACGCAACCATTCTGCATAGGGTTCAATTCGGAAGTCACACTTAATTGTGTCGAATTGAGTGGCTGAAACCCAAGAGTAGACAGAGAACGCTGAATGGCGCCGTGAACCTACAATGCAAAACGCAGCAGATATCGTTTGTAGACGCTGAGATGTTGACGAGTTACTTGTTTCGACTCGGTTTGATAAACCTTTATTTTTAAAGGAATGAAGATAATCCCGTTAACCAACATCTGATGACAGATGAGATGCGTACCATAGAAGTACGCAAAACAGATGTTTGACTATCAGCTATGGTATACCGATCAGATATCTCTGAAACTATCGAACTATTAAAAATAAAGCAGTACAATACAACAAAATAGTTACAAGTCATCCAACGAACCAAATTTAAAGATGAAATAGATAGGATACCAACGGGCATTTTTACATGAGTATAATGGATCTTGGTGCTTGGACTTGCAAATGCTCCTCTTTCGTATGATGCCAAGCTTCCACTACTACTGAATAAAAGCTCGCAAATCGCTGGAGGCTTTATTAGATACCTACGTTTGATGAACTTTCATGCTGGCCCAAAAACACTCGGGAGTCTTCTTTGCGAGTTACTTGAACGGAAACCTCGTCTGCTTACCCAAATTATAGGAAATTTACCAGCAAATTTACCGTCGTTATGGTAGTAGAAATATGCATGGCCAGTGCTTTCAAATTTAAAAGGTAGATCCACAAGATGGTGCGACTGCGATGTTAATAAAGCCCACAAGCGCTACATGGTGGCCGGTGTTATTGCGATATGCGTCATTAATATAATTTGGTTTAATTTGATGTCGGCTTGGGGCGGAGCGAGATCGCAAAAAAGCTTTAGTCACTCACTCATTGATCGAACTCGCCTTGCTTCGCCACCGTATCTAAATGTATCCATAAGAATTTTTTTAAGACCATCTTCAGTTTTGTTATATATACTTATATACATTTTCAGTATCTAAGGTAATATATTTTTCATAAAAAAAACATATATCAATTGTTCAATGTACGTCGCAAATGAAGTGTCGAAAATCAGCATCGACCAAATTTGCCAATTGACTTCGTTGTATGTATCAGCATCAAAATATGAACTAACCCTTTTTATACACTGAACCCATTGAAAATGGGTAAAAAGGGTATATTGTATTTGTGCGAAATTCAAATGTATGTAACAGGCAGAAGGAAGCATCCGACCCCATAAAGTATTTATATTCTTGATCAGCATCAATAGCCGAGTCGATCTAGCCACGTCCATCTGTTTGTCCGTCCGTCCGTCCGTATATATGAACGCAAGGATCTCAGAACCTATAAGAGCTAGAGACTTGAAATTTTAGATAAAGATGCTCCTACTTGTTTTCTATTTGTGTTGTCAATTTCCACTTAGAGAGCTTATCTATCCTTTGCGAAAAAATGTGTTTGAAATGTCAAGCATTCATTTGTTATTGCATTTTACAAGGCGAACAAGTAAGAGGTTTTAGTCGGGAGCTCCCGACTAGGGGATACCCTGAACCCCCTTCTTCCAACATCAAATGAATATATATATTCTATTTTAGAAGCTATATGACAAGTTTGGTGATTTCAGCTCTAATTATTTACCAAAATTGCTAAAAAAAAAAACAAGATGTCAATATCGATTTTTATAGATTGCTTGGAAACGGAGTAAGTTATCGATTATCGGAAACAAACTCGATCTGCGCGGAAACTAGGAGCACCTACATCTAAAATTTCAAGTCACTAGCTCTTATAGGCTCTGATATCCTTGCGTTCATACATACGGACGGACGGACAGACAGACGGACATGGCTAGATCGACTCGGCTATTGGTGCTGATCATGAATATATATACTTTATGGGGTCGGAGATGCTTCCTTCTGCCTGTTACATACATTTGGATTTTGCACAAATACAATATACCCATTTTTAATGGGTTCAGGGTATAACAAGTAAGAGGTTCTAGTCGGGAGCTCCAACCATATTAATATTCAACGATATTCAACTCGATATTTGCATTTTTGCACATATAAATATCAGATATAGAAACAGATCAAATTCAACCACAAACATACTTTTTCTACATGTTTAAAAACATATTTTCAATATTTGCATCTTACTTTTCCTTATTTTTACTGGACACATTGCGCTCTATACCAAGCATCAAGTCTTCAAACCACTGGGCCATTGTCTGTTGTTTTTCAACAGGTTGTCCACGTATAATAGTTTCCTTCAGTGAGCTTTAACAGAGTCATTATTGGACACGTTAATTATTGTTTTAGGTTATAACCTTACCGATAATAATCCTCGTAGAGCAGTATAAGTACCAATAATGGGCGAGACATAGACCATTGGTTCCGACAGTCCTCAGCCAGTACATTGTTCAACAATGAGGACATCATGCTTTGCAGTAGCTCAGAATTTAGTTCAACTACCTGTAAACGTAAAGTAAGCCGACGAATTCGTAGTCAAATAAATACTGAAATAAGAAAGAACGGCAAAAATCGGCATGCCGAAATTTATGTATTCAAAGACTTGTGGCTTTTATACAAAAGCTTTGTTATCGACTAATTGTTTCTATAGGAGCTATATTACAAAATATTGCGATTTGATTCTGGCTTGTACATATTAGGATAATAGTGTGGCTCGCGAGTGGCAGACACGGCAATATCGACTCGACTAATACATATCAAGAATATGTATATACTTTATAAGATCGGAGAGCTTTCTATCTATGCGCTACATTGATGCTATTTGTTTATTCTGATTTTTAAAATGAACAACAAAATAACATACATTCATGTGAGTTGCCTTTTAGTTCATTTAATTGAATTTTAATCATTTTTCAATTTAATAATACTCGTATCCTAAAACTCATTAAATAGATAAAAATGAATGAATAGATAAAATAAAGTGTTCAGCTTAAGCAAGTGAGCACGAAAAATGTTCATATACTAGGTATATCCTAGTCAACTAGAGCAGTTTTACTTTTTCTTTTTGTTGTTTGCGATATTTGGCAGGGTAAACGTAGATAAGCCGTTGACTCACTAACTTGTCTAATTTAAGAGTGTTAATCGCTGCAAATCATTTATGAAAGTCATCCAATGTAAGGACTAAGCCATCCTAACAAATAAATAGAATTTGTGACAAATAGAAAGCCAAGAAGCCTTAATATCATCAGCACTTCTTTAACGGTTATAGACTTATACTTATCAAAGTTAACACAGCTTCTGCAAACAAACAATAGGCCATGGTCTGATTGTCTTAAGCAGCTTGTAGAGACAGAATTTGAACACAACACATTTGTATGAGACCCTGGTAGCGCGCAAAAGATTATTGAGTATGGAAGTTCAAAACGTCATTGTCTCCATTACTTTAGCAAAGACAAACTATATAAATCCAGTTATTTTGATTTAGATAAGAAGTTAAACAGTTGGTTCGCAAATGTTAGCGTCAATGACATGGTACAACCTAACATAAAGGTAGTTTTAGTTGGTTGTACCATATTAATGGTGTGGTAATCGACATGAAAATCAACATAGTTCCTATGCCCGAAAGGAGTCGATGACAATGCAGCTCATCAACATACCTTATGTTCTAAAAGGTGACCCAACCCAGTACTTGCGATTAACCTCTTTACGATGAAGGCGTGGCGCTTTGAAATCAATAGTACCTTCCTCGCCACGACGAGCGTTACGCTACAACAACCAGTTCCAAGTTCGCATACCGAAACGATATTACCAACGAGAAAGTAAGGATATCTTCGGCACGCTGAAGAATTAATGCCCTTATTATATTAAGTGAAACTTGAAAATGTTGAGTTTGTTGAAAATAATTTTAAAAACCGAATATTGGCCAATAGATCCTACTATTCCACCGATCCTATATGATTTAGTGCTCGGATGTTGATAAGATTTTTCAAATTTGTAGGGAACTAAGTGAAACTTAGAAATGCCAAGTGTGGGTAAGATATCTTCAAATTCAAAATTGTTTCTTATACAAGACTCTACACTTTGGACCGATCGTTCCTATGACAGCTATATGATATAGTTGTCCGACGTAAATAAGATTATGCAAACATTTAGGGAGCATACTAAAGCCTTAAAGTAAAATGCTTGGGTAAGATATCTTGATAATTAAAAAAGTTTTACTAATAAGTACTAAATTTTCTATGATATAGAAGACCAATCTTGATGAACTTTTGAATGCCAAGTTTGGGTAAAATATCTTTAGTCACCTACAGTCTGAAAGTGATTTAAATCGAGTTCCTATTTATTCAAACAGATTAGCTCTAGTATCTTCTGAATTAAAATGAAAGAGTTAGCCTGAATCAACCTCGTACTTAAAGTCATATTTGGGTTTTGACGGTGGAAACTGAATTTAAAAAGCACCACATTATATATTACCACTAACCAAACAATATATAGACTAGACATCTAGTGGATAATGCTGGAGCCACACGTTTTATAAGCGGCTGGTCGAAAATCGACTTCGTTTTTGTTCAACTTCGAGACACGCACGCACGCTCAGACAGCACCTGAGTAAGAAATACATATGACTTGTGTGATAGAACGGCATCGCTGCTCTTTTTATTTGCTCACACTACAGAAAACTGCTTTGACTTACTCTCAGTGCTCTTTCAATTTGTCTGTGTGGGTATGTACCGCACAAGCATAAATGCACACAAATTCAATTTTTCTCAAAAGTCGGTGGTTATCTTCCCTTTTGAAGGGACGATTAATATGAAATAGTGAAAGGGTTTGCCATGTCGATGCGAAATTCTTGCATTGTAGCTCGTTATCGTTGGTAAGGGTACCTATGCGTTGGCATGTGTGCATTTAAAATATTTTTGACTCGCTATTCACGCATACTTGCATATTTTGTATATGAATAAAAGCATTTATGCGCTTGTGTGCCTGTTGGTTGCCTGCCTGCCTGTCCCTTGCAAATTTAACAAGATTTGAAGTTTTTGTGATTCTGAATTTCTATCTACTTATTCCTAATGCTGTTTCTTGTACAAGCCTGGCGACATTTAACTTGATTCTAAGCGCATTATAGGACACTGAGTTCTTGTCAAAATAAAACTATATGTAAACATTGGATTTATTTTGCAGGATAAGGAGGCGGTATCGAAAAAATAAATATACTCTATGTACATACATGTGTGTATACTGTGAAGTATAGTACTAAGAGTCGAGTTTGGCGAATTTTACCGATTGAGTTTCCAAGCAACTTTCCAATGATTGAAAACAAACTCATTCTGTATTTAAAATTTTAAATCTCTTGCTACCATAGGGTCTGAGACCGACAAGTTTATTTATACGGACGGACGCGTGGAGAGACTGACAGACAGGAGGACAGTAGAAAGGCCACACGCGCTCCTGCAAATCAAAATAATATCTGTCGGGCAATTTTAAATTACTCATATATATTTATACATCAAGAAACGTGAGTTTTTTATTCACATATCCTACAATCACAATGTATTTATACCCTAAAATAATTGAAAATGGGTAAGAAGAGAATAATGATTTTGTGCAAACGAATTGAACAGGCAGCAAGAAGCATCCCCTACACTGTGTCGATCTGGCCATGTTCTTTGTCTGTCTCTCAGGCAGACTCTATTTATAAACGCGACTATCTCTGAAACCATAATATCAAAACTAAAATTTTGAATTTGGATCCACATAAAACCGCGCAGTACACTAAATTTAGGTTGTACACAAAATTAAAATGGAACAAAATTTGTAGACAATAACCACAGATATATATGGCGAAAGAATCCCATAGTGTGTGTCTAGGAAAAGTTCGGCATGGGGTTCAGGGAATCTCAAAGTCGGCGCCTTTACATATATGTATTATTTTTCGTAATGGGTTCCAGATGGTTGGGCTAAGACACATTGGGCGACGCTCCCTGTATGTAAGCTACGAACGCAGGTGTTGCGTTTCGTAAGGTCGAATAGGTTGTTGGGACGCAATTTGTGACAGCTTCGGTATTACCTCCATCACCGTTCCAGTAAGATGCTGTCTGAGATTTGCAAGACTGTCTGCTTATGTTTTACGGGGAATATTTGGAGTTCAATATACATTCAATAATGTAGTGGATGATGCTATCGGACTGTAAAATTGATTGATCACCACCTGTCTGTTATTTGACTCCATGAATTGTCACTCGGACCACTTAATTTTTTCGAAACCGGAGACTGCCACAATTTTTAGCGCTGTGCCTAAAAAGTCGAAACTTATCGCCAACCTTTTGTGCACTTGTAACTTGGACAATAAGTTGCTTCTGTGCTCGAAATCTATGTCTACGAGTTTTCGCATGTGAAACTGTGAAAAAAGTCTCTTCTTGGTAAAAATAGCATAAGTAACTGCGAGAGAAAAAAGTACCACCAGTATAAGGGTATTTATCTCAATATGTCCTTGTGAATTACCTTCCAGTTTATTAAGACAGCGGTCCCAAAGTCTACCCCGAATTTTTGTTTCACGCACAAGGGACTAGCTTATTGCCAACTCTTCTGTTTGTGTTTACTAAGGCATTGCCTCATACTTCAAATGCTCTGTTTTGTCTTGTCTGGTTTTCCATAGACCGCTGAATGTTTTGTGCCTATTGAATTCTAGCTCTAAGCTGTTCTTGCCACCCTGGTTCGGGATTGAACAATACGTCAATTGGTCTTCGATTAGTAACAGAGTGAATTGTGCGGATATATTTGACCGCGGCTAGCAAAATCATCTTAGATTTATTGTATATTCCCCTTCCTATCTTTAAACACCTTGCCAATTTTATGTACGTACTGTGCTGAGATTGGTGTTAGTTCGTTTTTGCAGATTAAAACAATTTCGATGGCTAACTTTGTCATTTTGGAAAAATAGTAATTGGGAAAAATATAGTAATGATATTGACCTGTTTAACATTCTCTTGAGCAACTCTGTGCGCTGATGTGTTCCGCCGTGAGAATCTCACGCATCTCGTTACTGTAAACAAGTAAGAGGTTCTAGTCGGGAGCTCCCGACTTTGGGATACCCTGAACCCTCTTATTCCAACATCAAATGCATATACATATTCTATTTTAGAAGCTATATGTCAAGTTTGGTGACTCTAGCCCTTATTATTTACCAAAATTGCCCAAAAAACAGTATGTAGATATCGCAAAAGATTATTGAGTATGGAAGTTCAAAACGTCATTGTCTCCATTACTTTAGCAAAGACAAACTATATAAATCCAGTTATTTTGATTTAGATAAGAAGTTAAACAGTTGGTTCGCAAATGTTAGCGTCAATGACATGGTACAACCTAACATAAAGGTAGTTTTAGTTGGTTGTACCATATTAATGGTGTGGTAATCGACATGAAAATCAACATAGTTCCTATGCCCGAAAGGAGTCGATGACAATGCAGCTCATCAACATACCTTATGTTCTAAAAGGTGACCC